ATCTCTAAAAGAAAAAAGTAAATAAGGTGGAATTTATCCAAGATTTATTAAAATGTTTTAAAATAAATTAACAATTTATTAAAATGAATTTATTAAAAATGTTTGCTCTATGAAGGACTCTGTTAAGAGGATGAAAAGACAAGCTATGGACTGAGATAAAAAAGACAGAAAGAAACATTTCACTGAAAAAGATATGTAGATAGCAAATAAGCACATGAAAATGTGTTCAACATCACTAGCTATCAGGGAAATGCAAATGTAGACTGTGATGAGATATTACTATTCAACTATTAGAACAGCCTAAAATAAACAGCGATAATGCCAAATGCTGGCAAGGATGCAGCAAAACTGAATCTCTCATGCACTGCTGGTGGTTAAAATGGTACAGCTACACTGGAAAATAGTTTGGCAGTTTCTGAAAAATGAAACATAAACTTACCATATGACCCAGCGATCACTCTCCTGGGCATTTATCCCAGAGAAAGGAAAATTTATATTCACACAAAACCCATACACAATTTTTCCTAGCAGTTTTATTTGTAATAGCCAAAAACTAGAAACAACCAAAATGTCCTACAATAAGTGAGTGGCTAAACAAACTGTGGTACATTCAAACCATGGAATACGATTCAGCAAGAAAAGGGAAGAAACGATTGATACGTGCAACAACTTGCATGGATCTCAAGGACATTATGCTGAGTGAAAAAAAAAAAAACCCAATATTGAAAGGTCACATACTATATGGTTCCATTTATTAATATTCTAGAAATTACAAAAGTATAAAGATAGAGAACACATTAGTGGTTTCCAGGGATAAAGGATGGGAGCAGAAGGGATGAGTGTGTATAAAATGGTAATAGAATGGAGTTCTGTGTGGTGATAAATAGTTCTATATCTTCATAGCAGTGCAGTTACATGAATCTTCACATGTGGTAAAATGACTTATAACTGTAAAAAATGTATTACATATGGGTCTACCTAAACAAAAATATTGTTCAGATTTGGTATTCTTGGACTTTATTTATAAAATAGTCATCATCTCTATGTAGTTACCTGATAACTTTTTTCCATTCGTTATGTTTAAAAGGTCCACCCCAGTTGTTGCATGTAGCTGTGATTTATTGATTTTCCCTGTTGTCAAATATTTTGTTGCATGAATATAACTTCTATTTGCTCTCCTGTTGGTGGACATTTGTCTTAAATATAGCTTTATGCTGTTTTGAATGAAGCTGTTATAAACATTTTGTGCATGTGTCCCAGTGCAGACATACAAGAGTTTCTCAAGAGAATATACGTAGGAGTGGATTTGCTCTGTGGGAGGGCGTGTGAACATTCAACTTCATAAGATAAGGTTAAATTGTGCCCAAGTGCTTCTATCAATTTATACTCCCACCATCAGCTCAATTTGCATTTTCCTGATTACAAATGAGGTTGCTCATCTTTTCACATGTTCATTCACCATTTGCATCTTTCTCCTCTCTGACAGTGTGTCAGATCTATTGCTCATTTTTCTATTGTGTTGTCTTTTTCTGACTGATTTGTAACATTTCTTTATATAATCTGTTTTTTTGTTGATTTTACATGTTGCAAACTTCTTTCAGATATTGGCATGTCTTTTGCTTTCTTCATTGTACCTTTTGATAAACAGAAGGTCTTAATATTACAGTAGGCAAATGATTGATCTTTCCTTTTGTGATTAGCACTTTTGTGGTTTAAGAACTCCTTTCCCAGTTGGAGGTCAGAAATATTTTCTTCTACAAGTTTTAACATTTTGCTTTTCACAACTAAATCTTTAATCCCTCTGGAATTAATCTTTGTGGATGACTCCTCTTTGACTTTTAGCTCAGTAAATTATTCCAACTTTCATGAGAGCTCTTGTCTTTTAATTCCAACTTCCCTGCCATGTCTGGCTCTGGTGCCTGCTTTTCTCTTCAAAATGTGTTTTCTGCCTTTTGGTATGCCTTGTAATTTTTCTTGATAGCCAGACATGATGTACCAGGTAAAAGGAACTGCTGTAAATAGATCTTCAGTAATACAGTGATGAGTTTTCAGGGAGAAGAAGCGTTCTATGCTATCTTATCCTATCCTACCGTATGATTAGGTCTCAGTCTTTTAGTGAGCCTATGCCTCTGGACTGTGAACTTCACAAGTGTTTTTCAGTTTTTTTCTCCCCCTCTTAGGTGGGACAGAATGGCTAGAGCGGGCTGTGGTTGAGTATATCCCTTCTCCCACAGTGGAAACCCAGGCGAGACTGGGGTTGAGTATTTCCCTTCCCCAGGTCAGTTAGGCTCTGATAATACTCCAGCAGGTTAGGCTCTGGTTAACTAGTTTACCCTGGGCAGGCTTTGTTAGAACAGAGTGCTCTGGCATATTTCAAAGTGGCTCCTTTTCCCCTCCCCCTTCCAGAAACCTAAGGGGATTTGTCTCTGATATTTACCGTGGGAATCTGGTAGAGCTCCTGGAAGTAAATATCACAGTACTGTGAGGGTCCCCCGTGACTGAATCACCCTGGAGTTTTTAATTCTCAGAGTTGTCCCCACGGAGACTCCAGCAATTCGTCAATTACAGTTCAGGTTTCCCTACCCGCGCACTGCTTCCCATGGCTTCCTGTATTCTCCTGTTGGGCTCTCCAATCTTGGGGGAAGCGGTTTACAAATCCAAGGAGGGTTATTGATTTCTACTTGTTGTTAGGATAAAGTGGTGCCTTCCAAGCTCCTTGTCTGCGGAACTAGACACCAGAAGTCCTCTGTGGTCTTTTAACAAGTGAGTGAATAAGAAAGTCCAGGAAGAAAACTTCTCCATGGCGAAATTTGGAAAGATGGCTAATTCTCCCTCAGGCAGCCTTGAGAGAAGTTTTGGTCATATGACCTAGGTTTCCTTTGTGTCATCAAGGCATTCCTGCATTAGCAATTTTGCAAGTGCTTGAGTGTCATATATTAAAAAGCTAAAGAAACCAAAACAAAAGCAATGAATTCCCTCTCACCATTTGAACTACGGCTCATATCATTTAAATGAGCTATTTGTTGAGAAAGAAAGCATAAATTTAAAATACCTGTTTGTATAGTATCCAAAGTATGGATTCTGCTTTTGGAGAGACAATGCCATTTATTGGAAATATTGCTGGACAGGGAGTCAAGAGACCTGGGGTTAAGCCTTGGTCTGTCATTACCTGGTTGTGAAACCTCTTTGTATCAGGAGTATGTTCAGCTGTGTGTAACAAGAACCTTTCTACAGTGGCTATACCAAATGGAGTTTATATTTTCTCAGTAACAGCTCAGGAACAGACAAACCAGGCCCAGTGTAGTGGCTCCTCCTTTCAATTTAGTCTTCACAGCATGTGGCTTTTGTCTTCATGCTCATCACTTCATGACTGCAAGATATGGCTCTACCTCTGGCATTATATCAGTATTTCAGGCATGGAGAAGAGTCAGGGAAAAGAGCACAAAGCGAATGCCACAGCCCTTTTAAAGAGCTTTTCCATGAGCCCTACATAATAACTTCAGCTCACGTTGTCAGAGCCAAAACTCTTTCCACCTGCCCATCCTTAGCTGTAGTTTAACAGGGCAAATCGCTGCCTGAATAAGTTGAGATTGTGTAAGAAAAAGGGCTAGACTGGAAATGGGATGGGTAACCAGCAGTGTCTGCCCCACTCTCTGAGCATCCAGTGGGAATGCCTGCCTCCATGGCAGGATTGTTTGGATGACAAAATGGAAGCTCAAATGCAAGAACACTTCATACACTATAAAATACATTTCATAAACAAATGGGAGATATTCTGACTCACTTTCTCAGAGAGCAAATCTAATGTAAATAGAAAGTCTGATTAAATGTAGAGCCTTGGATAATGAATATTTGTTGAATTTCAGCCCATTCCCTTTCAGACATCTTCAGATAACCCAAGAACTAGCATTTTCATGTGTATACATCCTCAAATACCAGTCTTCAGATTCAGATTTTTGTCCGACATTGTTGTAGTGGGCATATGTTGATTTTCTCCCCAATGTCCCTTTCCCCCTTTTCCCTTCCTCTCAGTATGCTGAAGGTCTTTCCATATGATTTTTGTTGGAATGATCCTACCCTCACCTCCAGGGATAAGCCTTGATTCGTTTAAAGCCATTCAACAAAATATAGTGACTGATTCAGCAATGGGTAGTCTGAGTGGCCTCAGAACCCGGAACTACCAGCATGCTAACACTATCCTCCTGGAAGATGGATGTGTGGTCTTGAACTGCTGTGGCTATTACTTTTTGCAACATGAGGGGAGGCAGCCTGACGGTGAAGTCAGTCTACAGAGAACACCCTTGCCAAGAGAATTGCAGAGAATCAAATGATATAGTAAACCTCTGGTTTCCAAAAACCATCCTACCTCTGGGGTGTTTTTCCCCCCAGATCAATGAACCAAAATATTTCCTCGTTTTGTTATTTATTTGTATAAGTGAGTTTGAGTTGGGTTATCTGTTATTTGTAACCGAAAGATTCCTAAATGATAGTTTCTATACTTATTTCAGGAAAAAATTATATATATTATTTTAATGTTATTTTAAATAATGTATATATTTAAAATATATTACTCAATGTATTATATATTATGTATGTATGTACATATATATGTTTATATATACGTGAGTTTATTCTGAAGTTTACAGTCCTTCCAGGATTAAGGCCATAAGGCTTGAATTTACTAAGAATGCTTGTTTCTTCCTATAACTAATTGCTTGCATAGCGCCTGTCTAAAGGATTCTGGATGGTGAAGTGCTAGGACCTGAGTCCTGCTCTTTTAGGGACTGTACCTATCACCCCTGCTGTATAAGACTCACCCCTGAGAGCTTTGAGCCAAAGACCAGTTAGGCTGAGACGTGTCAGTGTTCTTGTAGGTGTGTTTCCTGTTTCCTGTTTGCAAAAGCAACCTCAGAAGAAATACAAGTAACAGCCTTACATGAACTGCTTACTGAGCTGTCAAATGTTCAAGTAAAATAGTCATTAATTATGAGTGATCTCAGTTGCAGGGCCATTGAACTGCTGGTGATCAAATCTGTCGTGATCCCGTGGAGAGCTCTGAGGTCCGAGGTGCTGTGTGACTGCATATTGTAAGTTACTTTTTTAACCTCTCAGAATGCCTGGGTTTTAAATTGTGTAAATTATGATTCAGAATGCAAAGATGTTTCACCCTAGTTAGGTTGTTTTGTGTTTATATGTTTTGGTATTTGGGAAACAAAAAATGCTAGCTTATGTCCGTCATTAAAGCTTTGCTGTGGGGTATACCTTTCCGTTTTTAACTCTTTACTTGAATTTGTATGTTACTGAGAAAAAAAACTATGCACCCATTCTAATTAAAAAAAAAATCTATTCTCTTTTATGGTGACTCTGATTAAATGGAAACCTTATTTAAGTATAAAAGATTTACTTATAAAAAACTAAAAAACTAGAAGTTACAATGAAGTAAAAACCTGACTTGCTTCCTGGAAAAAAAGGTAATGCATACATGCTCCTCCTTACTTTCTGAATCTACCCTTTTGGTATGGAAAATTGAGAAGGATGTTGTGCTGCAAGTAGATGGGATATTGTCTAATTCAGAAAAGATCCTTTTGAAATTTTATTATAGTATAATTAGGCAGCAGCAGCCACAATACTGAATTTCCTGTTGAGATAGGAACATTATTACTTTCCTAATTTGTTGATGTGGGTCTCGAAAGTCAGCTCATCGAATATTTAGGAAACTGGCTTTTCAGGAAGGAAAATCTATGGGTATATGAATTTCTTGGAAATTTTTCAAAATATGCTAATGGCCCACATGAGAGCCAGCCAAGATTTAGGTAAGGTCATGTGGCTTAGGCCCCAGTAATAGATTTTGTGGCTGTTTGTAAACAAGGCATGAATATTAATCTAATATGTACTTGGCCAAATGATTTTGTATGAGGAATAAACGGCAAAGATAAAATCAATGTGAGCAAGAACAGAACCTTCTTTTGTATTTCGCTGATATTGCAGGGAAGGAAGGGAGACATATTGATGTGAAATGAAACTCAAATACACTTAGCTTTCTTTTATCCCACTTTCTTTATCCCCATTAAGTATTTATGGTTTAATTAAGTATTAGATGAGTAACATGGCTCATCTGGATGTCACAAGAAAGTGAAAGTAAAAAATCTTCATTCCAAATTTGGTAGGCCAGTGCTTCAAATGAGATCTATAGAATGCTAATAGCTTATTTGAAGTCATGCTAAACAAAATCTCATGTGGTTTTTTTCCCTCTCATGACTTTGAGAATTAAGCCTCAGCCCCAGTGCATTTCTCCTGGAATCCAGGATGGAGCTGTTCATTCACGTTGGTCGTGGTCAGGCAGCCTGAGAGGCTCTTTCTTCTTGTGATACTCTGGTTGAACCACTTATGGATTTCACAACCCTAAACATGATTGTGGCCATTGGATTAGTTCCTCGAATCTTTCTGACATCAAACTAAAGAATAATAGGAAAATGTGTATTCTTGCCTAAAGACAGTGAATCATGAGCTTGATTCAACCTAAGAACCTTTCCCCTTGACGTGGAGGTGTAGAGAAGCAATATATCTGCTAGTGGCTTCTGGTCCTTTCTGCCCCTCCTCAGGCATCCAGGTCTCTCTTCGGTGGCTGTGGTCTCAGGGACAGGGCATGCCTCACTGTAGACTCCCTTCTCAAGTAAGCCCCAGATATGCTCTATTTCATCTCTGGTTTATGTGGAGCAAGGAGAGGCTGCAGGAGTTCAAGCTGCAGATTTGAGGCATCTGCCAGACCTAAAGGGAGACAATTTGGAAGAGAAATCGACAGAAACACTCTGAGGCAGTAAGGGAGCCACTCCCTGCTTGACTACTGTTGGCTCAGAAGAGGAGTGGACAAGGCAGGGATGAGGATGACCTCTATAACTGAGGCTAAACTGCCTAACTGGGCCTAAAGGATGGCATAAGTTAGCAAATACTGCCCCAATTTCCTGGGCTTTCTGGAATTTTGTTCAAGAATTCCAGACATTCTAGTAAAAATTGCCTGTCGACAGAGATCCTGATAAGAAGAGATAGGGAAGATATATGTAAAGAAATTATTTTAAAGTGAAGTATATGGATAGACTCTAGGTTTACAACTATTTCTGATTTCCTGTTGTCTGGGTGTCTCTCTTTAGCTCCCTTAGGCTAGAATCATTTTGTCTGGATCCCCAAGAAATCCATACTCTTCCCCAAGGCTTCCTATGTGACTAGCTTCTTAGTTATGTGATGTTACATAGAATTATATTTTTGTACAGTTTTCTGTACTAGAAACCTCTTTCCTACTCCTCTTAAAAAAAAAAAAAAATACCCTTTTAATCCTCTTAGCCCAGGTGCTCACTACTCTTTATTTTCAATGTCCCATAAATTTCCTTCTATCAAAAAACACTATTTTGTCAACAGAATATCTTTCATTCAGGAAGAGTAATGGGGAGAGATTATCTCAGAGGCTGAGAGTACAAGATACCAAATATCTAGGGGATAGTTAAAGTATGCTTCCAGATGTTTTCAAATAGAGACAAATACTGTTCATCCAAATAATCGATTCCCTGACAACCATTTTCCACCCAGTCATGTTCTTAATGCCAAAACAGCTAGTAAACTCAGTGAAACAAATAAGCAAATTGCTTTTTTATTAGTATGTAGGAAAAAGAATAGAAAGAGCAGTTGATTTCTCAGCAATTTTGCAACAAGTTCAGTGTCATGTAGACTTAGGAGAATGTAGTTTGCAGTAGCTAAACGATGATTTTAGTTAACCAAAAAGTGTTGATTAAGCATATTTACCTTGAGCCCTAGGGCAGAATGATATGGTATAACATGGACTCATACATTTGGTAACAGATCTTGCTCCTAGAAACATAATTCATTCAGTAAATATTTATTGAGCATTTGCTGTATGACAGGCATTGTGCTAAATCATGGGGATATTAATGGGGAACAAGGCAGGTATGGTTTCTGCCTTCAGTTGAGTGGTGTGGGGTGGAGGAAATGGTAATCAAATAATTACACAAGTAGATTTTACAAATGCAATCATTACTGTGATGGAGAAAAAGAAAACACAGGAAACTGAGACTATAAAATACAGGCACTACATCTAGCCTAAGTAGTGATCAGGGAAGACCTCCCTGAAGAAATCTGAAGGGGCTAGGATCAGGGAGGAGAGTGTTCTAGGCAAGAACATGCACAGGGAACATGGAGCTTACCAGGAACTGGACCAAGGCCAGTGTTGCTGGAGAGCAAGGGAGGCATGGTGCAAGGGAAACCTGGAAAGGTGGCGGGGGCCGCTCATGAAAGACTTAGTAGAGAGAGAATGAATGAATGGACATGAGTAGTTTATAACATGGAGTGAGTCCTGTTGTCTCCTGTCATTGGTGTGAAAATAACATGAGGTTTTACCTGTGTAATGACTCTGCTATTTGGGAGGAGGTATTCATTTATTCATTCATTCATTCACTCATTCAACCAATAAACACAAGACAAAATCTCTGTTCGCATAGATCTTAAATCCTAGTGGAACAAGCAGATAATATGCTAGTAGGCAAATATATAGGTTTTATAGTGAGATTTTGTTTATGAATAAGTGGTGTGAGTGGTCTTTACGTGGAATTTTAAAAACAATTTCAAGTATTTATTGTATTGCATCTAAGTATGGTTATTCCTCTGTTTAGTCAAATAAAGCTAAATGCCCTAGCAGCACTAAGATGCTCAGCACAGGTGTTCTTCATAGTACTCAATACACAGTCAAAGACTTTGGAGAAATCCTAAGAGAGGAAAAGAAGCAAGGGAAGCTGTGAGATTTGTGTTCTTGTTTCTGAGGAGCTAGTGATTTCACTGCACACTCTGCCCCTGACCACTTCTTCCTGGAGTGGTGAAGAGGAGACAAGGAGAGCAATAAAAGACTTAAATGAAAATAACAGAGGCTAACACTGATCGAGAAGGATCTAAGAGGGAGAGTATTTCAGAGTGTTTCCATTTCTTTTTGCATAAAGAACTTAATACATATATCTTATGATACACTTAACATACTTTATAGATTTTGCACATTTACTATCTCTAAAAAAGGTTCACATCTTACAATCAAAGTAGACATTTAAGGAAACATATTCTTTTCCACATTTCCAAAACTGTTATTCAATTGATGGTGTATCTTAAAATCATCAGTGACTTACAACTCAGAAAATAATACATATCTGGAACCTTGTTTGAGTTTTCAGTCATGCCTGCGTTTTCTGAAGGTGTCCTGAAGGTTTCCTGATGGCAATGTTTGCATATCTGCATATAAAGTATTACCATCAATGGAATTAAACCAGGGCACCTCTGAGGGTCACCTTCAGGTCTTGCTTGCAAAAATCAGAGGGTAGTTCATTATATCAAAGGGAGGCATAGTGTCTGTTTTAATCTTCAGGAACTTCCTTGTTTCTGATTTTCAAATTGCATGAATCAAAGTGATTTTTTCTATATATGCCAAGAGGAATAATGGAAATGTTGTTAGGGTTTCTCAACAGCACTGTTGACGTTTTGGACCAGATCATTCTGTTGTGGGGGGCTATCCTATGCAGTGTAGCATGTTTAGCAGCATCCTGGTACCAGTAGTATCCTCCCAGTCATGACAACCATCTCTAGCCATTGCCAGATGTCTCCTGGGAGGAGCAAACTCACTCTCAATTGAGAACCACTGCTTTAGTCTATCAAAATCAGTGACTCACAATGCCATGTTTTAGCTTTGTATTGTATTGCAAACATGTCCAATTCTGAATGGATAGCTTTCAACTTAACAAGATGGTATCTTTATAATTCTATAGCTCTTACATCATAATTAAAAATATTATGAAACCACAATTAGAAGACTAAATAAATAGATTTTTACTCAGCTAAACGTATGAAATCCTGACATGTAATAAGTTTTTCTGTGGAGAAGAGGGTATACACTTTGAGAACCTTGTAAAACCTTATAAAATTTTACCCTCAAAGTTTGCAACTTACTTAGTGGCTCAATTATTTTTTAAAGATACATTTATGGGAATCTTCATGCCACAAAGACTCCAACTTGGTCAGCTGCAAGAATTATAGCCTTTTG